ATGGATGTCAACGGCAGGGAGGAGACTGGGTGTAGTTCCAATTAAAGGGAAGGATAGTAACCAGGGAAAGGGAAACTAAAATGAGGATCCATATCGCATTTTGTATGGAAACAAACCAAGACATGGTCAAAAATTGTAACCTATAAAAACCTAAAAATACCGAAGGAAAGATATGGGAGAATTTTAAAAATTATTCCAGAATGGAACATGCTTTTGATGTATGACACAAGCCCAGAACCAGAAAAGATTATCTCAACTTATAAAAAACCATTAAAAAGTCAAAAGACAAATGAAACGCTTGGAAAACATTGCAACCATCTCAGACAAACAGCTAATTTCTTTCTTTTTTTTTTGGTAAATGTATTTATTTAATTTTATTTTGTTTAAAAGACAGCCAAACAGATTTAGGTGCCATTGGGATGCTGATTGGGGCTGATTAGCCCACACCCAAGCCTCATCATCCCCCCACCCTATTTTTCTGTTTCTACTTCCTTGTTTTCTGTATATAAAACCTACTAAAAATCCAAGTAAAGTAGACCTTGACAACCCTTTGCTTGATCTCGCTCCTTTCTCTCGCCCATCTCTTTCAGGCACGGTCCCCCTCGCCCCCGCGAGTAACAGAAGGTCCCGCGGGCTGGGACACCGTCTCTACTAGAAATAGAAATAAATTAATTGGCCAACTAATATATAGAAGAAATTAGCCAGCCATGGTGGCGCATGCCTGTAGTCCCAGCTACTCGGGAGGCTGAGGCAGGAGGGTTGCTTGAGCCCAGGAGTCTGAGGTTGCTGTGAGCTAGGCTGATGCCACGGCACTCACTCTAGCCCGGGCAACAAAGTGAGACTCTGTCTCAAAAAAAAAAAAAAATTTACTGAGTATTTACTTTAACTACCCTGCCAGATGTTGTGGAAGTCACAGCCATGTGACATTATCACTGTCATCAAGAATCTGATAATCTCAGCTATTCTAACTAGGGAGATGAGAATGATAAAATTAAAGAGCAAACAATGTTAAGAGTCAAGTACTGGCCACACAGACTTCAAGTGTATTAAGAGTGTTGGGATCCCTTCAAAGGGAAGGTGAATCATTTATTTATACATAACTATTTATAAAACAATATTAATAAATATATGTATTAAATAAATGCTATGGACCATACTGTGGGCTAGATACTGTGGGTTTTTCAGAGAGCAAGGCAGAAAAGCTCCTTGCCTTATGAAGCCTATCATGTAATTGAGAAGAGAAATGAAAAACAGGTAAATGATAGATCAATAGCACGTTGTATTAAGGGCCATGAAGGAAAGAAACAGAGTGCTAGGTAGAGAGTACATAATGGGAGAATGTCATTAGGTCAGGTGGATGACTGGAGAAGCTTCTCCAAGGAGAGGACACTTACCTTGAAAGCCTGAGGACGAGAAGGCACCAGCCAGGCAGACAGCCAAGGGAAGAGCAGCGCACAGACATGGAAGAGGGGAGAGCTGCTGGGGCTGGAGGAATCAGGCGAGGCCGCTTGCAGGTGAACTTCGAGCTGTGGCATGGTTAGGCTTTGGATGGAAGGAGAAGGGGACTGTGAGAAATGGTGTCCCAGGCCCGGGATTGGTTGCTGGGATTCAAGAGATGCATTTCTGGGATATCAGCATCATTCAAGAGTGGGGCATTTGGAGAGGGTAGGAGGTGGAAAATAGTTACATAGATGGATTACAGCCAGATGGCAGAGGGCTTTAAATCCAAGCAAAATATATATTTAAAGTATTAAGAAAAGAAGAAACCACTGATTTTCTATTTTTTTTTTTTTTTGCCACCACTGACACTCACTAAATGATACCCAGAATATCATGATACCCCTAGCTTATTTCCTCTGTCTTTTTCTTTACCCAAAATTTATCTTATATGGTACTGTATAGTCTCTTCTAAAGGCCATGTTTGTGGTGTTATGTTCCCATCAAAAATATTTAGTGGGACGCAGCTGCACTCTACCCAGGGCAACAGAGCAAGACTCTGTCTCAAAAAAAAAAAAAAA